TGTCTTTTCAATCATTTCGCGGAACTAAAATAAATGCTATGATTTTTTTACAAGTTGTCATCTGCCAACTTTAATTAAGTACAGAAATTGAAAATGAAAAAAACTATTATTGCATATTTTGGAAGAAAAAAAGAGGTATATTCTTACTAAAAACACCACAGTTAAGACAGAAGAAATTTGAACAAAATTTTCTGAGTTAGAAAATTATCGCAAAAAGTAACTAAGACTCAAAAATGGCATCAGTATTATAATGTCAACAAATGGAACGTGGAAAAGTTGTAACAAGCCAATTGTCGATATAATCGCGAAAAATGTACTGATTACACCAATCAAACCCATCAATGGTTTTGATGTGAGCCAATTGATAAGTAAAAATGAATTTAAATTGTCAGGTAGATGATGATCAGTAATGGTACTTAAGGTGCAAAATATCGAGAATGCAATTAGCAAAAATATTGTATATGCAAATCTGAAATCAATCGAAATTTGATCAATTTTTTTGTAAAAAGTTTAATCTCAGATCACCTTTGAGCTCAAATAGTTAATGATTAATATTGAATCAGTTGCCGATAATAATTTTTTTTCAGGCTTATTTATCTTTATTTATTTGTTAAGTTAAAAGTTTTTTAATTTGCAGCTAATTTATTGCTTACTTTGGTATAATTGAGCGACTGCTTTTAGACAGTTCCATTTCGAAAACATCCGAGTGGAAATAATACAAATTGAATAAATCTGCTGGCACAGATTGTTCTTCAACACGATTGCTTAGTGAACTTTCAAAATCTCTAAAATTTTGACAAGTTTTATAATTTTATAATAATTTAATAACTTGCTTGAATTAAAAATGTTTCTGAGTGTGAAGAATTTTTGCAATAAAAAACAAATTGTTTGATAATGTGAAAACTTCGATTAATACTAACAAACTCAACTTTCGACTGAGCTCAGTGTTTTCTTGAAGTTGATAAAGTATCATCCAAGCTTTTGCTTTTTTAATTCGTCTACTGGAATCAACCTGAATACCTCCAAGTACTTGCGAAAGGTCAATTGGTTCTACTAACAACTGAGACTTGAATAATGGATAGGTTACGTTGAAATAGGCCTGCAAAATGTTTTTTTCTGATTTTTGCTGTGACCATCAAAATTTGTAATTTCCTCATCAAAAACTTTCGAAAATGTCATCACTTTACAGCAATTTTTTATGTCTTTTTGATTAAGTAGTTACTGCAACAGATTCAAAAGATATGTGTATACGCAAATGTACCGTGTGATTATGGTAAAATATTTCCGCAACCAAACGTGCATGTTTATTCTGAAAGCATTCATGATTATATTGTAAACATATATTACGATACGTGTACTTCAGTCCATTACTCGTAGTAAAGGTTTCATTTGTGATCCAATCAAGAAATTGCATAAACTGTCCAGCATGACTTGGTCTTAAAATATTCCCACCATCTTTGGCTAGTACAAGCAAGTAAATGCTTTTTCTACGGAAAATATCTTTCCCTAAAAGATAAAAAAATTTATTCCAAGTTTTAAAAAAGCCACATTAAAATGATAAATAACTAACTTTCTATGACT